GAACATCATTTCGAGATCAATCACCACCACCACCATTCGTTGAAGATTTTCCACCCAGCTATGAGATGGCAGTGGTTAATAGTTTACAAAAGACTAACATGCAATCAACTGACGTTCCAGATGAATCGAATAATTAATGTTTTTCATACGATAATAATCGAGATGTTTGGAAAATTTTATTTATTTTTTTGTTTCTTGTAAACAGACAAGTATACGTTGCATGATCTAAATAGTTTTTGATTGTTGAACGTTGAGAGGAGAAAGTTGTAATATTTGAAACAGTTCATAAACGGTGACAAATTAATAGTATTCATACATAGCGATCTTTGTTTACATTGATAAAAATTGTCTGAACGTTATTTTCTGGGGATGATCATTTATATATTCTCTTCTACCTACTATGTCATCTATTACTTTTTTCTAATTTGATAATTGGCAGAAAAAAGGAAGAAATATTACTTTAAATATAAAATTGAATCGTCATTTCAAAGTGTGGCGTGTGCGTGAATCTTCTATTCACCCACATCCACTCTCAAGAAAAGAACAAAACATTTTAACTTTGAAGAAGAATGTTTTGCATTCGAAACGTCAGTGATTTTATATACTTTTAATAATAATAATACTAATAATCAATAATTAACAAATAAAGGAAGAGACAAAGATTATCTTTAAAATGATTAACATTCTCTCATTATGAATGAGTAAGTGCTCCAATGCTTATCCGAAAAGAAAAATGATGTACAGAACTGTCGATGAAGTTGCATGTGAAGACATGGGCAATTATCCGACAGAATTCTTCAATAACATAACACTATCTGGAATGTCTCTCAATCAACTCAATTTAAAGATTGATATAATACTTATACTTCTTCACAATTTAGATGTCAATCAAGAGCTTTACAATGGAACTTGGCTCATTGTAAGACAGTTACAAAATTACAAGATAGACTCTGAAGATGCCACTGGATCCAATAGAGAAAATCGAAATCTTAATCAGGCAAGTGTTTTTCGACATTGAACACGTCCCTGAGCGTCTATGATTTGTGCAAATTGATGCATTGGAACGCATCGGGAATGCAACAATTTCAGGTGTGTGAACGCATTCAAAAACCGAAACACGTGCAAACTCGTCTATCTTGCAGACAGATTACGACGCATTTTCGGATTTTGTTGCGTTTGGATGCAGTAGGAGATGAACGCGTTGGGATGCGTTTATTTTTTGCCCAAAAATAAATTAAAAAAATTATCATCACTTTGTGTCGAAATGGAACCGACGTACCGTAGTAAGCTATGATATAACACTCAAATTCTGTAAGCAACAGAGTGGTAATGTTTTTTCAATGACAGCTTGAACAAATATTTGAATACAGGACCAGTCCATTACGAACCCAAACACAGCTCGAACTTGTTTCTATATTCATTAATCGCATCATTAGCTCGTATTACACTATTTGTTACAACTTTGCGAATAGAGCTGTTATATTTTAAGTTCTTGAAATAAATGTAAATAATATATTTATCGAAAAAAAATCAAAATAAATATATTCTTGATATTTATAAGAAAAATTAAAAAAAGAAAAAAATTTCCATATTTAAAAAGATTAAAATTTCAGAATAAAAAAATATCTCGCTCTGTGATAAATAAATATATCTATGTAGTATAAAGGCATTGATTAATTTCTTTTTTCTTACTAGTTACACCTCAATATTCAATGTTAATAAAATTTGAGAGTACTAAAAGAAAAAATATATGGAAAAGTGTTTGTCTATGTACTTTGTTGTAATTATGCTATCAAAATATTGTTGGGTATTTCGGGAAAAATAAAATATTAGGTTTCATTAAAACGGGCCCCTTTTTAATTTACGTTTCTTTACCTTCTTAGAACAAAAAAACTTTCATTTATCTTTTTGTTATAAGCATATATTAAAAACTTTATTCATCCTTATATTTGCAAGTAATAAAATTTTGTTAATGTTTATAACTTTATTACATAAATTTAGAAGTTCTGTTTTCAATCATGTTTCATTATAGACAACAATAAAGATAAGCCAGCGACTCCATTTGAAAAGGCACTTGTGAAAATCAGATAAAATGAAACAGTTGGAAATAAAAGTAACATACTTATAGGATTTATTTGCTTGTATAGGTAAGAACTGGTGAAATGCACAAAAAAAACACTGTAAGTTTATAATCTGTTCTGCACTTCGATAAATGTCAGAAAACCCAACAGAGTAATCAAGTGAATTCAGTTTCACATCACACAACTAACGAAGAGGAGTAATGACTTCCTTACTCATACGCAAACTATACCTCTTTAAGCTTGAGAAATATGAGTGGGTTTGGTGTATTACTCCAAGTGTAATGACATACCTCATAGCAATGGATAACTATATATTCTAAGTAATTACACTCGAGGTAATACCCAAAATCACTCAAAACGCTCAACTTTTAGAATATGCAGTTTGTTGTTTTAGATGAATAATGTCATTATCCTTAGGGTAATACCCCGAGAGAAGCGATTTTTCTTGTGATACTGAAAGAGATAAAGTGATTACTCCTTGAACTGGTAGCCATTCGATACAAGTGAATACGCTTCAGTTGAATACCCTATTAATTATCGTGTTGTGGGAGTGTGGATACCTGGTGTAACGGGACTATGGCATCACTCAATAAAAGATGTGCAAACAATAATCAATTATGA